ACCCTGTCTCACTTGAACACATTTTTACAAGGACCGCTTCTATGATCTTAAAAATGATTTATGTATATTGTATAATTTAACAATAGATGTTGAATTGTGCTGTTCTTGTCTCTTTTTTATATATTCACACTAAACGGTGCTTGACTTTTCTTGAAATTACAGTACCATTACAGTTCCATTACAATTTTGACGAAATCTATTTGAAACTGAAACTGTCTGAATACTAGTATATTTTTACTCAATAAAGGCAGGCCTGTAGTGGGTGGAGGGGGGGGGGGACAGCTGTATTTTTTTCAGTAGTGGGCACTTTCAACTACTACATTTTTCTTGACAAGCAAAAGAAAATTTTTTTCGGCCAAGAAAGGTCATCTATTTATTTTTCTCCGTGACATTGACTAACTTGATAGAATAAGCTTTTCACATTTCGATGCGATTGTCTTAACCAATAATGAAATATTACGCCCAAAACACGTTTATGCTTTTTGTATGAGGCGATACAATTAAGTAATAATCTACGGATCTAATTTTACTTTCTTTCGCTTAAAATAATTAGGCAAACAATTTTTTCGTAGTTATTTCTTCACAACATACCAAACTTATCAAATGAAAGGGGATCAGCCAGAAAAAAAAATTTAACTTAAAAAATTAGTCAACCAAAAAAAGGGAGGGGGTGATTGTCCAAACTCAAAACTCTAATCCAAAATTCGCCTTTGGGGGGGGGGGGGGGTTAGGAGTATCAAGTTTTCTTAATCAAACATTATACGTACACTGCCTTATTCTTTTGTCCTTTAGTGCAGGAATTTGACTATGACAAAAAGTGTGTGTGTGTGTGTGTGTGTGGAGGTGGGGGTGACAACCGAACTTTCAGTGTAGCCCCCCCCTCCCGATGCTACTTGCATGCGACTGTAATGGCCAATAATTTTTCTTTAAAAGCAGAAATATTTGTGTTTGTTTGTTAATTCCTTTCCTTAGTGCCATGTTAGAATTATGATATAAACTTCAGTATCTCGATTTCAACGGAACTTTAAGAAATTAATGTCGAGATATGCAGGGTATTTTGATACATGTGTCAGAGTTGAGAAGTTAAAATCTGCGCAAAACGTGACTTATCTATTTTATATCATGATATCAATAGTCATTGCAATATATTTCACATTCTCGAGAGGGACGTTAAAAAATATACAATCAATCAATCAATATATGAGGGTTGATCCAAAAGTAATGTCACAGTGTACATATCTTTTGTGTTTGGTGTCATATTATCAAATACAATACACCAAAAGATGCACAAATATAAATCTAATTAACATCGAAACTTTTTAAGGAATAAAGCTTATTTCAACTTATATTATACGATATAACATAACTTGGGACAGTTTACACTATATAAACCGTGATTTTAATTTCAGTGCAGACAGTGAGACAATTTTTCCTCCAGAACAAGGCTTCACAGTGATTAAATTTTAAAAGTAACGTCAAGCGGAGTAATACGTTTTTTGACGTAACTCATTGTGACGTAAGCAAGTTATGTTATACAAAATGGATAAAATCTTTTATCCAATCAAATGACGTGTTACAAGTGAAATTAAATTATTTTCTAATAATGTTAAATTGAATTAGTTTTATAGATGTTTTAAACAATGGGGGTGTCACCGCGTCACATCTAAACGTCATATTTTAAAGAATATTTTTTTTTTAGGATGAGAAAGACAAACACATTGAAAACATTTCAAGCTTTTCTTATTGCCAAAAGATTTTAAAAGATAAAATTAACTTAGTATAAACATGTTTATCAAATGATCAGTTAAGATTAAATGACGTCATTGTGATTTTCTATTATAAAATTGTGTTTGCCTCTGATGCATTGAACAAAGGAAGTGTCAAAGGGTGGGGGGGGTGGGGGGGGGGGGCGAGCTGTTATGCATTTTTACTTCAAAGTGGGGAAATTACCAATATAGACAGTTACACTGATTGATAAGACTTACAATGATAAAAAAAGTAAAGAAGGGTCATGTTTATAGATTTTAGGGAGTGTGATAGGTCATTGAATTATTATCAGAAGACAGGAAGGCTGCAAGAAGAGAGGTTGGAAGGAAACGTTTAACATGGTATCTGATGTTGTCAAAAGACAACGTGTATCTGTTATGTAAATGTATTTGGACACCGTCTTATTATATTGTTCAAGGAATTTTGACAAAGGACTTTGTTATGAAAAGAGTGAATGCACAATGGCTATACCAAGAATTCATTAAAGAACAGAAATTTGTGAACATATTCCGAGAATCTCAAATAATATTATTGGGAAACGTTTTTAAGTATGACGGCAAGTATCGATAACATGACGTTATTTAGATGCGGCGACTACCAGATTTGCACATTGTATATAATTCTATATTTTTTAAAAGTATTATTTACTTTAAATTAAAATTTTCAGGTCTGATTTAAAACAAATATAGCTTCCATCATTTATAATTATGTTGTTGTACGTTGACTAGTAGCAATTTTTTTCAATTTTATTGAAGTTGTGACATTACTTTTGGATCAACACTCGTATTTCACGCTCATTAAAGTTTTTAAAGATTTTATGCAGTTTTATAACTTTTTGAAATTACATCCATAACCACTTGTCACATACTTTTTGTTCTATCAGTTATGTATTCTCAAAAGATGCTGCCATATCGGACATCAGCCAGAAATTCGTACGTATTTTTGCTTAATCTATGGTGTTTTTTTTTTATTCTGGTTTATAAATATTCTCATTCATAATATCATTGTCCGATGTAATATTGTTAATTTCTTCAACACTGGGTATAATGCTTTTGGGAAAAGTCTATAACAGCCAAGTTTATTTTCTAAACATATTGCAATACAGGTTTGAGTGGAATTTCATTCATTTATTTCATCGGAACATTTTAAGAAAATTGAAACATAGTAATTTTTACCATATATTTCTCTTGAATGTATTTATTAAATTTTGATCATTTGTAAAGAAGCTTTTGAAACAAATTTATTTTTAGCAAAATTTTAGTGGCATCCCCATCCTCCGCACCCCCCCCCCCCCCTTATTTCCTTAGCATATTATCTTACTGTTAATTTACATGTAGTATAGAATTATTTATTGTTGATGTAGAAGGGTTGGATCTCCCATGTTACCAAAATCTATATCCAATCAAAGAAATGTTATGTTTTTTTAGTTTGAACTTTAACCAGTTGTCTTTTTTTTCGGAAATTTTTTTTTGCTTATCTCCTTAACCCTCTCTTTTCACACACATTTTAAAATCGATAGTTCACCGTAGGCTGGCTATCGGTGTACATCAGTATGATTAACTATGGCTTAAAATTAAAATGGCTAAATGCATTTTAAATTATGGTATATATTTTTCAGGAAAAAAAGTAGTGCTAATAAAAATGGTAAAACTATGTGCAAAGATCTCTCACTCGTTCATTTCTCTCTCTCTCTCTCTCTCTCTCTCTCAAAAAAAAAATATATATATACATGTGTATGAAATAAACCTTTTAATATTTAGACTTTTTAACATGAATTCAAATTTAAACATTTGTGAATTGCTCAAAAAACAAATAGGCAGCATCTTTAATTTAGTCATGCATAGACTTCGTTTTAATCGCTGTTCCTTGCAATGTGCATACATATGTCAAATGTCGCGTATATCACCATGAAGTTAAATACTTAAACAGATTAATGAATAAACCACGTACTAAATAATAATGATATCATATACCTATTACAAAATGTCTGCATCAAATTTCAAATCTTTGTTACACTTTGAAATCTAATATTATTTCTAGTTCACGAAACGCAGTAGATAAAAATTACTTCCGTGTTTACAATACCGTGACTTTGACGTCATTTTCTGAGCATTGTGACGTCAAAAGACAAGGGCCCTTTTTTCGTGACGGCAGTCAAGTTATAATTGTAGGTAAAGAAATGAGAGGGGGGAGTGTTTTGACCTATTGGTTTTTTGGCGCAACGGAACATTTATGACCTTTACTGGAGAGGGGGAGACTCTATATAATATGGATAAGATGCCGATTGAGGCATTGTATGAGCTGGTTTAAGAATAGAATTTCGTGGCAATGTAGCAAAGAAAATACAGGGGAGTTAAGAAAGGAATATAGAAAATAACTCAGAGTGTATGTTGTATAAAGAAATCCAGAGAGTTCCGAATGTGACGAAGTGAAGTAGCTTGGTTGGGTTTTCTTTGTCAAGCAATGTTTGGTTAAAGGCCGTACACATCAGATTTTTTTTATATAAACAATGGATTTATTTGTTATTTTTAGTGTAAATTCTTGTTTCTGGAGTTTGTAAGATTTGCTGAATTGACCAATCAGAAATAAGAGTCTATCTTTGGTTGTGCTTAGACGTTAAAAGAAGATTCTCCCCTGTCTTTGTTTAGAACAATCAGATAATGACTCGGGCTTTTCGGATTTCCGTCAGAAAAAAACGGAAAATTTGAAGTATTACAATTATGCAGTTATCTTTAAAGTGTAAGCTACACAAAAAATAAACATAGTTATTTAATGCTACAACATGATACAACGAAATTCTTATCGTACAGTCTATCTATAGTAGCTTTCACAGTTTTCCCAGAATGCACGATCGTGAAGCCGAGCATGCGTATTCAAGGAATTTTGGACTAACGTAGTTGCTAGTGCTCGAGAGCGCTAGCAAAAAAAAAAAAAAAAAAACGACAAAATTGGGTTTCTTAAGGTGTTTAGTTTTAAAAATCTTAATGTACTTATGCTTTCAAAATTTTTGAATTGTAGAAATTGATGAATTTCTAAATGTAGATCTGTAGCTTGCTTGGTGTCTATCCCAATTTTTTCTGACTTAAGTGAGCTACAGATCTGCAGCTAATATCAGATCTGCATGAAATATAGTCTTGTAAGATTGCATAGTGTGATCTTTTATACAGCATTCATACCCCAAAGTACATGCATTTACTATATTTATTTTGAATTCTTGTTTCTTTTCTTTGTAGATTGAGTTCTGGCAGTGTGTCAATCAAACAATAGAAGGTAATTAAGTGTGTAAGCTGTAAATAAAGGAGAAATTCAAGGGCGGAATTAGAGAGTGTGAGGGTTAGACCCTCTACTTTTGGCAAAAAATGAAACCAATATATAATGACCTCAAAACTCAGATCACCCTCCCTGTCAAACGTAATGATATTCATCCTTAGGAAATATAGAAAGGACTTCCTCTACCCTACAAAATAGATTTTTTTTATTTGAAGAAGTTTGTAAAATGGGATTTTTTTACTTGTCACAAATTTTTTTGTGGTATAAAGTTTTCTTTTCTGAGTGTATGTTGATCCTTCTGAAAAAAAATCTTGGATCCTTACATGATTTGAATTGTCAATCTCAAAGCAAGCTGACATAACCTTTAAGCTAATTGGTTATTAAAGGAAAAATTAACTTTTTACCTTCATGCTGTACAAGAGGGAGACTTGTTTACTCACTTATCATGCTAATTGTATCCTTGCCTTCAATATTGTTGTGACAGTCTATAAAAAATTAAGCCAAGATAACTTGATATTACCTTCAAGCTTGTTAAATCACTGATCAAACTAATTGTATCCTTACCCTCAAGATTGCTTACTTTCAAGTTTGTTGGTTAGGAGAGGATTGTCAATCATCAGTCAAGCTCCTTTAAGCTGGTAGATAAAGGTTAATTGATCCCTTTCAAGCTAAATGTCTTCAAGCTTAATGTATGAAAGTAGAAGATTGTCAATTATCTTGAGCTGATTCAGAATTAGAGATCTTACCTTCAAGCTTGCAAGCAGATATAATGAAGATTGTTGCTTACTTATCAAGCTGAGATAAATTAAAACCCCTACCTTCAAAGTTGAAGATAGAAGGAGAACGTTTGATAACTTAATTTAGCTGAGAAAAACCCTAGCTTGTAGCTTGTAGGTAAACAGGGTTGTTGATCACTTATCAAAAATCTTCTTCAGTACAAAAAGCATGCTGTCCAATACAATATCTGATTTTGATTTTTGTGTCAGAGAGAGGAAGTGGGGGGTGGGGATGGTAAAAATAAATGCATGAAATGAAAAAAGCAAAGGATTAGGCTAAACTTAATTAAGACATAATTTTTTATGTTTGTTTTCCTCTAACAAATGAGGAATTCAGAGTCATGTTGAAATCCTTTTTCCAATAAAAAAGATCTGCAGTAAGCTGCTATATAATTTGACATCTGTATAGGTAACAGCCAGAGATCAATAGCCATATTGAAGTTTTTTGTGTGCTTCAAAATGTGCCAGGCAATGGTTGATTGAAAGAATTATAAAGTCGTCACTTACAGGCCAATTAGAGTGACATTTTTCTAATGAGCAAAGATTATATCAAAATTTTTATTCTTCCATATTTTTCTCACAGTTTCATTTAAAAAAATTAATCGTGACTCAATTCACATAAGGTCAAAATGAGAGATTGTCGCAAAAGATTTGGAAATTTTTTTTTCCTGTGAGTTGAACAAAAAATTTCTTTTGGTGAGATTTGAGGCTTATGTAATCTAACTTAATCCAGGCAGAAGACTGAATAGAAAAACCAATGTGTGGTTGTCAGTCAAACCAAGAGTTAAGTAGGCCCTGTTTGGCAATCATTACATCAAACATACAGGTGAGCCAGATGAGGTCATAGTTCAATAGCTTTTCTGTTAAAGGAGAACAGAATAGTCCAAATTAAGAATATTTAGGGTAGAAGAATACAGTCTCCAATATAAAAGCTCTTATTAAAAGGCAAAATTTAAAATAAAATCTGAAATTATTATCTAAAATCTGAGTGTGCAGACATTTAATTTTATATGATCAAGATGATAATATATGACACCATATAGTAATGTCCTATTCAGCATTTAAATTCCTTTTATGAAAAGTTTTATACAGCCAAGAGAATTAGTTTTAAATGCTGGCTGAGTTTTTTTTAATTTTTGTCAGGCAATTTAACTTTATACATCAGTACATGTAATTGAAATCATTGTTTTTAATTTATCATACAATGCAGATGTACTGTCCCCAAATTGGTCATGAGCTGAGTAAATAATTATATTAATTCACAAACAATCTGACTTGAATCGTTCTGTAGGTAGAAAAATTTCTGCCACAAGACGCTTTTTTAGCATTGGTCATTTCAGATAAAACAGTCAAATCACAATATCTTGAACTGGTTTGGACCAAGAAAAAACTAAATTGAGATAATTTCGAGTATTTGAGATGTTTATTTGAGGTAAAAATAGTTAGTGGTTGGGACTTCCAAATTCCTTTGACATTTCCATGGTATTTGAGGTATCAATGTTGGAGATTTGATTGAAGTTCAGCTATATGATGGTTAGCTTTATCATATCTTTTTTAAAAAAAATTCTATGAAAACAACTTTGGTGTAATTCTTTCTGTTAGTTAAAGCTCAGAGGGCCTGGACAGACTTCCTTTCTTGACCCATATCATTCCCCCATTGTTAATGGCCTTTTTCATTTCATTGCCCTAAGAGATCCGTAAAGCTAGCCTGCCAATATTGGTCTTTGAGCTTAGTGTTGTTGAGGGGTTAACTACTGTTTTGTTTGTTTATGTTCTTTCTGTGTAATTGTTGGTGTCATCCCCTGCCATTCACTAAGTCTTTGTTTGGAGTTTGACTTTGTATTTAGAAAATGGATGTAATTCTAAAGATTTCCGATTTGAAATTCTGGTCATTAAAATGCTGGGGCATTAAGATCAGAATTTAAGTCAGCGTTTTTTTTACTAAGCTCCGTGCTATTTTTCTCTCTCTGGCTGTTATATTGGTAGAAGGCCGGAAAATTATTATTTAATTTTAAACAATATTTTATTCACAGATGTTAATGTGAATGGGATTGGGGGCAGCTGGCTCAGCCTATTTTAGCCCCCCATCTCCCTAGAAAATTATTATTGTTAATTAACAATTCAATTGAGAGTTTCATCTAATCATGGACCATTTTAATGGCAAACAATTTAATAAAAAATATATCTATAGAAAGTAAATCTATACTTAAAAGCCACAAGCTAACAACCAATTATTCTGAAACTGTCAAATTAAAGAAAAAATTAAAATGTTCTATACCTGAGGAATGTTATGCTTTATCAACCGGAAATTGGCTACTGTAAACATAAAATTGATAAAATCTTCATTGAAAGGTGAAATTAAAGATTATTTTATTGAAATATTTGATAAAATGATTTTGCAGTTTCAATTCAAGTCAATAGAAATCTACTGTGTCAAATCTTGACAGGTGTCAGAAATTGCACAGTTTGTAGTGAACCCGAAGAGTCAAAAACCATGTCAAAATTCCTAAACTTGGTTGGAAAGCATTTGTAAAGTGGGCCCTGACTCTGGTATTTAACTGTGAAGGCCAACATCATCCAGACTGCTAGTAAATTTTAGCTGCAGTTTTTTTTTTAATCAGAGGTGACTTCTTTATATCAGTCCTAACGGACTGCCTCAGTCCTGTAGACCTAATGTTCTTAGACTTTTGAAAGTATTATGTAGTCTTGTGCAGGCCAGTAACATTTGATAAGATTTAGTTCAAGTCAGCTCTTCCATTTTAGGACTGTCTTAGTCCTGCAGACTTTTTTCTTAGGACTTTTAAGTATTAATTATGTTAGATTATATATAGTTCCTTAGAGAGCTCTACCTCTATCATAAGGACTGTCTTAGTCCTGTAGAACTTGTTCATCACTCGATCATCTAGGACTTTCAGTACTAATGAATTCTTGTATACTCAGGTTAGACAAATTGGTTTTTATGAGCTCTGCTACCATGGTACTCAGTTTCAATCCTTCAGACAAATTACTCCAGTTTAAGGATTTTAGTATTAAGTTGGCCATAATAGGTTGGACAGCTAGGTCTGCAGACCTACATCACTGTTCACCTCACAGTAGGGTTTTATATATTAAGTCTGGTGTAGGTTGAGCAACTAGGTCCTATTGCTGTGTTCCTATAGGATTTCTTTTATCCTTTTCTGTATTAAGAAGTTGTTTTCCAAAACCTCTCGCTCTCCCTCTCTTTTAAACTGAATCATAGGACTACCACATTCTTCAAATTGAACTTTGTAATAAACTGACTGAAATACATGTAGTACATACTTTGAAATAAATTGAATGGACACTTGGACAGGTATAATAGTAAGATTGAAATGCAGATTGCAGTTAAAGCAGTTTTGTGTAATACTATCATTATGATTAAATCCAGTTAAAGATTGTTAGTAAACTATAGAGAGAATGATCAGCCATTCATTTTGTGTAATCCTTCACAAAATCAGTTAATCCAACAGCAGTGGAGTTATATTTATATTTATTCAGAATTTCATCTTTCTGTGCATGTTAATACAGACTAGCCTTCTTCACCTCTTTACATCTGATAATAACTCCGAATGCCCCTGTCTGTATACAGTACCTGGAGTTACCTTTAATGAGGGTATTTTACCAAACTAATGATGCGTAGTTACGGATAAAAGTCAGACTAACAACACAGACCGCCCGACTTAAAAAGCCGCCATTCACCACGACTGGGGTTTTAACAGATCTTCGGGGGATATGTCATCGGTTGTAAAAACACGAGAATAAAGGGGGGTTGTATCGAAGCCTTGACAATCCATTATCAGTTGCACAGATCACTGCACTCGGTAAAAAGGAACTCAGGAAATGATTGACGGGGAGAGAGAATAAGGGGAATGATTGACAAGGCAAAGAGTTAAAATGAAGTCGGAGAGAGAAAAAAAAGGCATGGGGGGAAAAAAATCAAAGGGTTGATGGTGTAAACTGATGTGGAAATAAAACGCTTTGTATGGGTCGGGCTGACGCTTCTAGGTTTGTTGGAAGTTCAGGTACAAAGGAGCGAGGAGGGGGAACGTTTAATGCTGTACTTGTGATTTTGACAGGGGGGAGGAGGTTTAAGGTCGGGGGTCATACCGCTAACTGACACCTGTGTGTCAAATTGTTATCTTGTTAATTCCAGGGGGATGTAATTATATCGGCCTGCAGTAAATTTTTTTGTTTATCGTGATGTGTTTAGATTTTTTTCTTTGGTGGATGATTAAGTGTAGTTTTTTTTTAGACTCAGAGAGATATCATGTCTTGAATATTTTTGGATATTTGCTTATCATAAATGTACCTGAGCTACATTTTTGGTTGCACGCAATTAATAACTACTACCTAGTAGGTTGTCAGTTCAAGATGTACATATGATATCATATTTCATAAGTCTGAGATTCTAGATACAAATTGCTTTGTAAATGAGTAAATGACTATACTGCTACTTTAAATATGGAAATATTTGTGTGGAGAAATTTTATTTACAAAGTTTTCCAAGATCAAGTTTTGCAAAATTTAAAACCTGACATGTAAGTTTTCTGCAAAGTACCATATACTTAAATTAAAAAAAAAAAAACACCAACATATGATTTTGCAGTACTTGCAAATGCTGTGATACATGAAAATTGTTAAAGATTCACTCCCTGAAAATGTCCTTGTTTTAGCATCTTAGTGACATATGAAATCTTGTAGACAAAAAGTGGCATATTAATTATACGAAGTGCCATTTTTATTTACTTAATGAAAAGTACAAGAACCTAATATGGTTGATTTTGATATTGTAAACTAATAATAACTCAAACTGTAAAAAGTGGAATGAGGATCTCCCTAAAACTTTCAACCAGAACTTTTCAACCCTTCAAAATTTATAGATCTTTGATTACTTCAAGAACATCAAATTTATTCTAATCACTATAGTTGTCAAATAGTCATAATACCCTAGTATAAAAAACTTTGAATTCAGCATATTTTTTCGAAGCTGCCATGGTTGGTCAAAGCTAGGAGTTTCACTCACTGTATGAAAATCGACTTCTTTTGATTTTTTTTTCAGTTGTCCACTCTTTGGCAGTGTGGTCAGGACGACCTTGCTGTGACCTTGCCAAAAGTCGCGTCTGTGAACAGGCCTGTAGAGAAGTAAGTAAAATCTTAGAAAATCAGAGTATAAGTAAAAAAAAATCTTAGAAAATAAAAAAAATCATAGAAAATAAAAAAAAATCTTAGAATATAGAAAAAAATCTTAGAAAATAAGAAAAACCAAAGAAAATAGAAAAATCTTTAAAAAAAAAAGAAATAATGTAAAAAGTGAAATAGTACTGATGTAATTTGTTTTAAATAATTTATTAAGTTGTAAAACTGTTCACACACAGTAGTCATTTCTGAAAAACATTTTTCATTTAGAACACAGATATTTTAATTTTTTAGGAATTTTATGATTTTTAAAGATTTTTCTAGATACTTAACAAAATTGATTACTTTTAAAAAAGAGAAGACAGAAGTTAAAAAAAGATAGTGGGTAAAAAAAAAGGTAAACTTTATAAAAATTTTTCAGTTTTAAGAACAGGAATCTTTCTACGTACAAGGTGGTCGTTTATAGTTTTTGTGTAGGTTTTTTTACGGCAGTTAATTTAGACGTTGAAGACAAACATCAAGTAATTAAGCTGTAGTAATGGGTTTGTCAAACTGAGTCTGACATAGAAAATATTTCTCATTAGTTTTAAAAGCTTTAACCATTCCCCGGCTCTATTTCTGGAAAGTGATTTTTTTTTATTTGGCCCTGAAGAGTGTTATAGAGAGATAGGGTAGGGTGGGTAAGGATTTAGTTGAGAGTGTGACAGAAAGAGAGAATTTTTCAGCATTTAAGGAAAAGGGAGCTGCAGGGTTGATTGAGGACAAAATCCCTTACAGAAATTTCTGATAAGTGACTTATAAGTGATTTATTCTTTTACTTATAAGTTGTTTATTCTGGACTTGCACTTCACTGATACATTTAACTAATAAGTGACTTATAAGTTACTCATTAGGATTTTATATGCAAATGAGCTACTTAACCTGTAAGTGACTTATAAGCCAGTATTAGCCACTTATGCTCTATGCAGTATAGTCACTTATAAGTGACTATAAGTCAAGCATTAACCCTTCATACTTTATCAAGTATTAGTCCCTTATAAGTGACTATAAGTGACTTATAAGTGAAGTAAAATACCTATAAGATCTTAATTTAGAACAGAACTTCCAACCATGCAGGGGTTGCATGATATGTTCAAAGCTATTTTTTACATTTACACATGTATCTGCACTTTAAATGAAATAATCAAGTAAAATAAAAATTTTATGGAAAAAAAATCACTTTCATATGACATTTCTTTGATGATGCAAACTTAACATATTAATTCCCCAAATGAAAAAGAAATCTAACAAAATACTTGCAAAATATCTTCAAAACACTAACAAATCATACTTTTATATTTTCTTAGTATGTTTTGAAAGTGTTGCATTTAATGAAACATCAATGCAAGACTTTACAGGATGGAGTGGCATGGTATTTTGTTAAATTACATTGTTGGTGTTTTATAAATGTTTCTTTAACTCTGCAGAATGAAATTGCATTTTGAAAAAGTCTGCATCAAGGTAATATTTTGTTAGCATTTCATTTGATTAATTTGTTTTAAGGTGCAGTAAAATCTTCCAAGAACAACTTAATTTTATTACTAGTTTTGCAAACCACCAGCACTAGGTCACACACATGTAAAGTATATACATGTATATTGATCCCTGATTGGAAAAAGCATAATCAGGATTTTGGATATAACAGAGGTATTTATTTATTGCATATGACATAAAGTTCTTTTATGCTGGACTACAGTAATTTTCAATCTGTGAATGTGGATGTGTACATATATGGCCTGTTTTTATTGGGGTTTTGTTCATGTTAAGAGACCTTTAATCCATACACTACCCAGCTCATATCAGTTTTAAGCACTGGATTAAAAAATTATAATTATACTTGAAAATTCTGTGAAAATGTATGTGATTGGAGAAGTGCATGGCCAATGGCTTGAGAATTATATCTCTCAAGTTTTTAAATGTTGGAATGGTGTGCTATTGTCTATTGAAGAAAAATGTCAATCCTGGAATTCAAAATACTGTGAAACAAGGTGTTTATAATGTTTCAATATGAGATTGTGTTTAGATGTTTTCAAAGACTTGTGAATTAATGCTAATTATAATTTTAAAAATTCAAATTTAGTGGTTTATTGATGATTTGTTGCTTATGATTTGTTAGTAGTTTATTAGAGTGTTTCGTAAGTATTTTGTTAAAGTGTTTTGTTAATGGTTTGTTAGAGTGTTTCGAAAGTAGTTTGTTAAAGTGTTTTGTTAGTAGTTTGTACTGAAAGTGTTTTGTTAGTAGTTTGTTATAGTGTTTTGTTAGCTCATTTGCATGTGATTTGCTATACTATCGGAATTATTTTCTTTCAAAACATGTGTTTTGTAAGTAGTTTGTTATAGTATTTTGTTTCCCCCTTTTTTTCATTTGGGTCAGTTTACAAACAAGAATGTTGAACAAAAAGGCAACAAGATTTAATGACCTTGAGGCTTAATTTTTCAAATTTATGAAATCTGAAAGCAACTGAGTCAAATGATTCAAAATTTCATGCAAAGGAAGTTAAAATAGAGAGATGATGTAAATAGAACCTACTTGTTGTACCTGATGTGAAGGTATACTCAAAATAAATCTAAAGTCTCCAACATCCTTTCACAGACACAAACTTGGTTTCAAATTCTTGTTGCTGATCTCTGCAGAGACAAACTCTCTGATTGGCTACCTTGAATACCCATAGTGCTCCTTGAAAGAAGTCTAGTATAGGGTAAAAAGTCTAAGTCCACACTTATACTTCGCTCATACCATACTGATCTTCACTTATAAGTGAGGTATAAGTGAAATATTCACTGATATGTAGCTCATCTTTACTTATAAGTGAAGTAGAGAAATCCATTCCTCACTTATACTTACTTTTTTATAGTACACTTATAAGTAAATTTCAAAATTTATATGTGACTTTTAAGTTACTAATAAGTGGATTATAAAACACTTATAAGTTTCTATTAGTTTTTTCTGTAAGGGATGGCTGGATTAGACAAATCATTCTGAGTTAGACAAAATTTTAAACATTTAGTTTTAACGTACACACTGAAATGGACTTTACGTTTCATCACATTATTAGGTTCCAAAGGAAATAGCTGGATTAGACAAACCATTCCCAGTTAGACAACATTTTAAACAAATAAATTTAAAGTTCGTACTGAAATGGACTTTACGTTTTGAAATACACAACGTCTGGATTAACAGACAAATTTCACTGTTCTTTAATAAGCTTTAATTTATTTATGGAGAACAAAGTAAATTTTCCTGCTAAGATAATAGCAGGGATTTGTTTATAATATTTTTCCAACAGCCCACAAGATTTTGAGGATTTATTGGCATGCAAAGGGAGTGCACAAAATGTTATATTAGCCTGCATCTTTAACAAACATACATTCTATATCGATCTTCGATGACTTATAGCTCGAAGCTGGAGAGAGAAAAAATCGTTCAAGTATTTTGTGGCATGTTTATTTAATCCCAAAAAAGAAAGAAAAAAACCTTTTTTGTACTGAGTGTCTTTCTAGCTGACGTTTTAACAAGGCGTGCATTGACAGGCAATGATCTGAGTGCAATAAGGTCAATCTTGGCAGCTTAATCTTATCTTACTATCAGGGCAGCAGATGCATTTTAATTAATGAAGATAGCAGAGGGAAGAAAAACATTGTCGTAGGGAATAAAAAATTGATTGGCTGAGGTAAAACATAAAAAAAAATCTAAATGTTAGTAAAATTTAAAAAAAATTTCAGAGGAGCTTATAGGTGGCCAGTCAGAAATTTGGGAGGGCCGGGGTAGAGGTGGGGGATGTGCATTACAGTAGTTCAGATTTCTTCAAGTATGTTAAATTGATTGCTTGATTTAATGCTAGGTAAATAAAAAGTTTATTTAAAATTTCATCTCATAAAAATGGAAAGTATTGACACAAATTATTAAATTAAAAAAGAAAAATAAATGATTTTCACCAAATTCTTCAAATTGGTGATCCAGTTAATGCCTATGTGCTGTTAGTTCATGATCACTTAAATTCTAACATAAGCAGAAAAGATAAGTTACTGAAATGGTTTGTGAAAAGTAGATAATTTGGGGGGAAAAGCTAAAGGGGAAAAAATGCACAAAGATCTCTTTGAAAAGTTGGAACCATTACTGACATAGATTGTAAATGACAGTTAGAGAAAAAAATAAATTTGTAAAAAAAAAATGAAATATTTGTCGGTTCAGAACACCCAGAGAATCTGTCTTAGAGAATTAAAGTCGGCCATTAAATACGTGGGATGTGATGCGTTTTGACAGAAAGCACTTACCCCAGTCTCAGCCAATCAGTGGAGGGACATAATTCACTGCAAATACGCAGAGAAATAAAGTGTTCTTGTCAACAGCGGGAAATCTGAGGAATAAAAAAAAAGCCAGGCTTATTAACTATATATTGTGCAAAAAATTATGTTTTTGTCGCCTTTCTTTCAAGTTAGATTAACAAGATTTGTCAAGAGGTTTGAAGAGAAAATCAATTTTTGATATTTTTTATTCATTTTAAGTTTGCAAATATTTGGAACTTTTTTAACAACTTTCTGAATAAGACATTGATGGAGCTGTTTCCTTTTAATTTTTTGAGTCGTGAAGTGAAATTGTTTAAAATATTTTTATATAACAATAACATTTATATTTTTGGAATCTTTCACAGATTTCTCATACATCCTCTTTCTGTGGAGCACTTTAAAAGTTAACATAAATATTTTTGAAATCAAAAAGTTTAAACAAAATAAAAAAAGTTTGATGATTGATTTCAGTTCTCTTTTAGATGGATTCAAAGTACTAGATACATACCTTCTATTTAAGATGCCAATTTTTTTTGTTGCCTATAGATAGTTTTCAGTAGACCCAAATTAACAATTTTTTTTGTTGTCCTACCCCTTTATGGAATAAAAATTATGAAATAAAGGAGGCTCTACCAAATGTATATTTTTAAGAAAAACAATGCTTACCACCCCACAGTTGCCAATAAAATAAGTTAAAGTTGGTTGAATAATAAAGGAAATTATGAGCATGTTGACCCCCAATATGGCGGCCAACGGGAAATTTTTGTTAATTTATATATAACTATAGTTAAAAAATTATTTAAAATATGGGACGGAATGATTTTTGTTATATTTAACATATAAAAAAAACTGTCAAGTTTTTGGCTGCAACAACAAATGCATGAGGAGGGAGGAAGAGGGGAGGGGGGAAGAGAGGAAGTAAAAAATATAGGGGTTTGTCTTTGTGTAGTATCTGTAACTACTAGTGAAGGAGAGTTAAACAGTACTGTGTGATTTATTGACCTTTACATGGTAGCTGATCTCAAAATTCATCCACTGTAAGACAGCTTGATGAATGAAGGGCCATCTGGAAGGGTCAGCTGGTGACCTCTGACCTTTAACATAATGAAAAGATGAATTCTTTGTACTGTCCTGCATAATGATTAATAGGTCACTGACAGATAATATTAATATTAGGCCAGGTTCTTTCACAGTTGTTTCCTTTATTTGGAGATGTAAATACATTGTATTATTCAATGTGGTGGGGTGGAATATAAGCAAATTACTCCCCCTTTCCCATTATGCTCCATATTTTGCACTCTCTTATAGCAATGTATAATCATGATACATATCAGTTTCAATTTATGCTATATGCTCAAATAAGTTAATTCCCTTAAATTTTTAAATGTCTGAAACATGCATGTATTACATGAAAAATTCAATTTTCAGAGAAATACAAATTGAAGTGCAATTTTAAAATGTAATGGTATGTTTATTTGATTTTTAGGCTAAGTCTCAAAGTGATGTCAAAAAGGCATGCATGGAGAGCTTAGAAACCGACCTGTACGAATGTGTCAAGAAACAAAGAGGTAAGGTCAAAGGTCAAGGTAATGTCACAAGTCATGGAACTGAGATAACAGGTTGCAGAACCAATGACTTGGTCACTGATCGCAATCTACAAGTCCTTATTGGGTGTCATAAAAATCTCAACAGACAAATTGCAAAAATGTGAACAATGTGTACATGTACGTGAAAGTATATATGCACTATATGCCTTATATTCATATTAAGTACGCTTGGACAAATTTCCGCGGAGAGTTTGTGACCGCGTACTTAGCGTAAATTAATACCACGTGGAAAATAGTACTTGTACAGTATATGCACCAGTACGAGTACACATACAAGTTTATTATTTTAAGGTTTCAACCACTCTATCGATTGAGATATGCCTGTAATTCCTGTAATTTTATTTTACAGAGGGTGAAATATGCTGCAGCAGTGGAGAGGACTACAGTTGTCGTATTACTTGTCAGGGCACCTACCTCGCTAACTATAACCGTAAAAATCAGCGCCACACGCTGAGGACTCAGTGTAGAAGCACTAACACTATCATGCAGTGTGTTATCAGTAATGTGGATGATTTCAAAGTCATCAAACTCATAGATCGTAAGTCAACTTATTGTAATGGGTCATAAGTCGTCTCAGAATGTTACTAACTGTAAGTCATCAAGTATATTGGTCATAAGTCAACTCAGACTGTAACTGATTGTAGGTCAGTTTGGTGATTGTGTCTGTTCAAGCTCATTGATAGTAAGATGACTCAGATTGAAACTGGTCAAAAGTCAACTCAGAATGTTACTTATTGTAAGTCATCAAGCTCATTGGTGATAAGTCAACTCAGATTAAAACTGGCAATAAATCGACTCAGATTGTAACTTTCTGTAAGTCATCAAGCTCAACTATAATTGTAATTCAACTTCAGTTATAATTGATCCTAAGTCAGTTTGGTGATTGTAGCTGATCAAGCTCATTGATCTTAAATCAACTCAGATTGTAACTGATTATAACTCAGCTTAGTTATTGTAAAGGATTGTAAGTTAGCTCATTGATTGTAACTGATCTTGAGAGATTAATAGTTGATCCTGGTCAAAGATTGAGCTAATTCAGATTGTAACTCATCAAACCTCAGTGATTTTAAGTCAGTTAAATAATCCTTACTCATGAAGGTCATAGATTTTAGATCGCCATTATGTTTGCCGCTCGATCATCAAGCTAATTTTTTGAAAGTTGGCTCAAAGTAAACACATCAGTTTCAGAGTAATTTGTGTTAATAAAACTACGAGTTATCATTCAGTAATCAAACTCATTAAATTTATTCATCATAAGTAAGCAAACCTGGATTTAAATTTCATTAAAAATCAGTGGTTTTAAGTCAGCACTGTCACTAACAGAAATCATTTATACTTTTTAAAAATGTGTATACTATAGTATACGGTTTTAACTCTGGAAATAATTGCTTTTAACTCCCCCGATTCTAAATGTAAAAGACCTCTGAGATGTAAAACTCTACATCTGTATTATGCCAGAAGTGATATCTTAATTGATGTTACTCCGTAATAACACAGGGATAGGTGACTGTTACTGAGCCTCTCTCACTGGTCAGTATAAACAGTTTACATCCCCCAGAGTTTAGGAGCCATCCCCCGATCTATTTCTGTAAAACTCTGCAAGAAAATGTACACACATGGAGTGCAATGTTTTTATCCTGAACCAAGGAAGAGCTTGGGAAGAGAGAAAAAAAATCTGGTGCTTGTAATATAGATAAATCAGTAGTAATGGAGGGGCAATGTGGCTCAGTAACACCTGGGATAAAGAGGAAATGTGTGGCTAATCTCCCGGGGGATCTAGAGAGTTAATTAGGTGGATCTATAGGGGTGTTTTTATGGCCTGACTTGTAAGTTTGATAAGAAGCTCCAAAGTTTGTTGTTTTATGGTGAATGGATACAGTGTTAGGGGAGATAATTCTGTACATGAGTTTTGTTAAAAGGGAAGTAATTATAGTGTTGAAATAGTTTTGATTTGTGACAGAGAGTAATATCCAAATGTTTTGTTTTAATTGGATTGTCAAAGATCTGATTGATGAAAAAATGGATCTATACCAATTTTTTTTTAGCTCACCTGAGCCGAAGGCTCAAGTGAGCTTTTCTGATCATATTTTGTCCGTCGTCCGTTATAAATCTGTCCGTCTGTCTTTCTGTCCGTCTATAAACTTTTCACATTTTCGACTTTTCTCAAGAACCACTGGGCCAATTTTGACCAAACTTGGTACAAAGCATCCTTGGGTGAAGGGGAATTTAAATTATTAAAATGAAGGGACATATCCCCTCGCAAGGGGAGATAATAAAAGACAAAAATAGGGTTGGGTCATTAAAAAATCTTCTTCTCAAGAACCACTGGGCCAGAAAAGCTGAAACTTATGTGGAAGCACCCTGGGGTAGTGTAGATACTAAATTGTTCAAATCATGACCCCCGGTGGAAGGGCGGGGCCACAATGGGGTATCAAAGTTTTACATAGAAATATATAGGAAAAATCTTTGAAAATCTTCTTCTCAAGAACCACTGGGCCAGAAAAGCTGAAACTTATGTGGAAGCATCCTGGTATAATGTAGATTCTAAATTGTTCAATATATACCCCTGGGGAAAGGGCGGGGCCACAATGGGGAATCAAAGTTTTATTTAGAAATATATAGGAAAAATCTTTGAAAATCTTCTTCTCAAGAACCACTGGGCCAGAAAAGCTGAAACTTATGTGGAAGCATCTTGGTATAATGTAGATTCTAAATTGTTCACATCATGACCCCCGGGGGAAGGGCGGGGCCACAATGGGGTATCAAAGTTTTACATAGAAATATATAGGAAAAATCTTTGAAAATCTTCTTCTCAAAAACCACTGGGCCAGAAAAGCTGAAACTTATGTGGAAGCATCCTGGTATAATGTAGATTCTAAATTTTTCAAATCATGACCCCCAGGGGAAGGGCGGGGCCACAATGGGGAATCAAAGTTTTAAATAGAAATATATAGGAAAAATCTTTGAAAATCTTCTTCTCAAGAACCACTGGGCCAGAAAAGCTGAAACTTATGTGGAAGCATCCTGGTATAATGTAGATTCTAAATTGTTAAAATAATGACCCCTGGGGGAAGGGTGGGGCTACAATGGGGAATCAAAGTTTTTTATAGAAATATATAGGAAAAATCTTTGAAAATCTTCTTCTCAAGAACCACTGGGCCAGTAAAGCTGAAACTTATGTGGAAGCACCCTGGGGTAGTGTAAATTTAAATTGTTCAAATCATGTAGGGCGGGGCCACAATGGGGTATCAAAGTTTTACATAGAAATATATAGGAAAAATCTTTGAAAATCTTCTTCTTAAGAACCACTGGGCCAGAAAAGCTGAAACTTATGTGGAAGCATCCTGGTATAATGTAGATTCTAAATTGTTCAAATAATGACCCCTGGGCGAAGGGCAGGGCCACAATTTGGAATCAAAGTTTTATATAGAAATATATAGGAAAAATCTTTGAAAATCTTCTTCTCAAGAACCACTGGGCCAGAAAAAGTGAAGCTTATATATATATAGAAGCATTCTAGGGTAGTGTAAATTCTAAATAATAGGAATCATGACCCCCGGGGGAAGGGCGGTGCCATTATAGGGAATCAAAGTTTTACATAGAAATATATAGGAAAAATCTTTGAAAATCTTCTCAGGAACCACTGGGCCAAAAAAGCTGAAACATATGTGCCCATGGAAGGATCATGGGTTAGTGTAGATTTCAAAATGTCTAAATTATGATCAGTGGGGTAGGGTGGGGATGCATTATGTATAACAAGGGGGAAATCTGGTAAAGAACAGAATGGTCAAAGCTTCTCAGGTGAGCGATGTGGCCCATGGGCCTCTTGTTTCTCATTTACTCACAGTTACAAACTAGCACATTTTCAATTTTTTTGGCAGCTAATTTATACTTGTTTTTTTTTTCTTAGCACAATAAAATTCATCATAAAAATGAAGAAAACTTTAGAATATATATACATATGATTTAAGCTCCTCTTTAAAAATTGCTAGGATGCTCAGGTTTACATCAAGGAAAATTGAGCTTGATGCCCTCCCATCATTTGAATTGAATTTCATGATAAACAGGCTGGTTGTTTTGCCTAAAAGATATACACAACCCCTGCATCTGCAGCAGAATCTCTTGATAAGTTTGATATACTTTACAAGATTGACTAGTATTTTGAAAATGGCAGATCATTTTGATTTATTGGTCAGCAATTTGTGATATAAGTCAGTAATTTGATATTATTCATTGGTCAGCAATTTGTGATATAAGTCAGTAATTTGATATTAGTCAGTAATTTATTATTGATCAGTTATTTGAGATCAGTCAGTAATTTATGATTGATCAGTAATTTATTATTGATCAGTTATTTGAACTGGTAATTTATGATTGATCAGTAATTTATTATTGATCAGTTATTTGAGATCAGTCAGTAATTTATGATTGATCAGTAATTTATTATTGATCAGTTATTTGAGATCAGTCAGTAATTTATGATTGATCAGTAATTTATTATTGATCAGTTATTTGAGATCAGTCAGTAATTTGTGATTGATCAGTAATTTATTATTGGTCAGTAATTAGTTACTGGTCAGTAATTAGTACGTATCAATTAGGATAACCTGCCTCCATAAAACCACAGAGCCTGCAATTGTCAAATTGTAAAGTACAAGTTAAAACACTTGTCTTAATTAGTCATCTTGCATCACGACATACTTTGATCATTGTTATTGCATAATGTCTACATGAATGTTGAATTTAATCAAATCTAAGATTTATCATGTTTATCAGCAGCAAATATTTGAAAGAATTATGATTGTGCAAAAAAGTGAATGCATGGACTTTGATAACTATAGTCTATAATTATCTATTTTTATAGTCTCTTTAAATGTTGCTCTAAGTGTTATAATTTCACACCTTTTCATTATGCTACACTTGCATTACAGACCTACCCTGCTGTTACCAGATAGAGAACCCGCGATGTCGTGAAACGTGCGAGAGAACACTGTCCACCATGAAGAACCAGGAGGAAATAGCAGGGAAACTAGAAAATGTCTGTGGACCTATTTTCCCTCAGGTAAATAACTCAATATGTGTCCTTTCTGCAGAAAAAAGGGAGGGAAACTAGAAAATCGCTATGTCAGAGATGATAGAACAGTTTTAAGCTGGTTAAATAAATATCACCAACAAAAAAAAAATTGTTCAAGTAAGTACAATAAGTATCCTGTAAGTGTGATGACAGCTGGCTAACAAGAATCCATTAGGATGAGGAATCAGCTGATTACGACATCAGCCGTGATACTGGGAGACAGCCGAAATGACGGGGAGTCGTAATTTCTCACACGATCTCGTCACTCACCGACAAAAAATTCACACAAAGAGTGAGTTTCACTCATACATTTTTTCGCCTTATCTCTGTGGGTTTTTTTCATTTTACGGGAGGAGAGATTTTTTAAAAGGTTTTTCACCAGATGATAGAGGGTGAAATTGACAAGAGTGAGCGCACTCCGCAGGGGGAGGGGGGAAAGCTTATGGAACAGCTGTCAGGTGCAAAGTATTACTTGCACAATATGTCAAGTATTACGATTGGTATTATGAAAAGTGTGTCATAAGAATATTACACAAATTAGGAAAAAAAAAACTTTTAATTTACAGTGGTAGAGCTTTAGGAGATAATTGTTTTATATCATTTATGTCACTTTGACAATAATTCGGACAGAAAGAAAATTAATTTAAATATTAAGTTAAACAACAGTTACTCTAAACATCCCTAAAATTGGATTTTTTCTTGAAGACCTAAGCTCAAAAATAAATCAGAAAAAAAATCCTTTCTTATTCAATGGATAAAACAATGACAAACACATGGAACTAATATCTAAATATTTGTTTCATTTCATCAAATCTCTAATTTTTCCGTCAAATAGCCATTTAAACCCAGGGGAGATAATGTCCCACACAGCAGTAGCCTCCCCTTAATATTGTCATCACACAGTGGGTACTACAACAGAAGAAGAACAAGGGCTGATAAGAGAGGAGTTTGCTTGTATCATTGAGGGAGACAGACGCGAGTGTTATTTTGATGGGGGTCCCGTGGCTGGCACGAAATAGCAGCTCTCTAGTGAGGGAGATATTTAAAGCACGTGGGCTCTTTTACGATCTTTTACCGAGGGGATTGGGTACAATGCGTTATGTTATGAGAAGCGTTTGGGAAGTTGACAAAAAATGTGATAAGAGCCGAAGTGATGTAGTGGGATAAATGTATGGCAGTGTGATAGCTTAGATAAATTCAATTTATAACATCTGCCAGAGGTATATCTTCCGATTTATTTTATCAAATCTGGGGTAACTGAGCTTAGAGTTAAAGTGCTATCATATTATATACAGAGCTACAATTTATATGTGTCATGTTTTTTAGGGGTCGGGGTTAAATTTTCAAGTAGAATCGGTGTAAGCTGAGATTTATAATTTCATAGCTCTTTAATAGAGATGTTTTTTTTTCTTAGTAAAACAGGAGAATGGGAATGGAGACTTGTATATTTTGCTCATTTTGAGTAAATGTTATTATTTAAATTTTTATTTACTTTTCCAGCATCCACCTTGGAGTTGTTTTCTATCTCAACCACCTCACAAAAAAGTAGAAGAAATCACCATGGACTACGCCAGACTACAGTGTTGTTCTAAAGCCAGCAATGACCGCTGTAGAACTCTCTGTACCAGTGTAAGTGTACAGTGTATAACAAAAATCTCCTCTTTATCACATTCTGTAAAGTACAGAATTTTATTATACGAGGGCCATAATTGCCAAGTAAAGGTCTAAATCTGCAGCCCTCCACAGGCAAATGTTGGCATCTCAATATGAGAGAAATATTCTTGAAGGGATATTAAACAAAAAAGTATTTCTTGATAGAATCATTTTTTTTTTTTGGAGTTGTTTAATTAGATTTAAATTAAACCTTTATATATTGTTATTAATTGATAATTATGTACACAGTACACCCAGTAGGTCAATGATAATTCAGCGTACAGTTTGCTAAGCATTTTTGATCTCTCTCTTAAAATATATGAATAAAGAAAATAAATGTAATAAAATGGGATTTTAAAGACAAAAATACACATACAATTTAATTAAAATGAAAAAGCAGTATTCGAGGACCCAGATCTTGTAATAAAATCTTGTGTTTACCATACATAGATCAAAATGGTCCTTGATAATTTGAATTTCCCGCTCTTTCAGACGTACAGCAGTGATTGGCAGAGCCACTACTCGGAGTTCCAGTCCAGCTGTCAGGATCTGACTTTACCTGTGTCTAGGATGGAGGCCCCAATGCTCACCTGTATAACAGACGGTGAGATGAGTCTCTGTTGTGATGGAATCACAGCATAAGAGACAATGTTGTACTGTAATGGGAGCTTTTAAGTTTGTCAATTTCTACTGCATAATTTTCATGATTTTTGTGTATCTTTCTTATGCCAGGTTTTAATTTTGCAAAATCAAGATGAAAGAAGACTGATTATATATAAGCATGCATGATATAATAATTTAAAGAACATGATGCACTGGGTTAAATTTAGGATGCTTCTATGATCACAGACATAATCCCACATTTCCATGTTTTCATGAGTGATACTTTTGATACACTTTATCTTCTTTAAAACATTTGAAAATTTGACTAAATTTGACCTATTAAAATTGCAGCTTATGAACCTTGTAAGTTGGGATGTGATGGTATGGAATTTTGTACCAACTTTAACAATCGCCCGACAAGTCTGTTCCGCGCTTGCTCCAAGCAGTCTGATAATGCGGCCAAGGCGGAGTTTCAGAGTTGGCTGGTGACAAAGCGCCCCCTCTCTCCCCAGCTTCAGATCCCCGTCAAAGGTAATGTCTACCTCCATCAAAGGTAATGTCTACCTCCAATACGAGAAACTATTGTACTTCTCTCAGCATATATCTTAATTTGTTACCTTTTCTCCCTGGTTTTCAAAAATTTGGAATGAGGAACATTCAATCCTTTTTCCTTTTTAAAAAGGATTTGGAAAATGTATTATGTGCCCCAAGAATGGAGGACATTCACAAAATAATTACATGTAATGGCATCCATTATATAAACTGTACCATTTGAAATTCAGCAAGAATCCACTTCTTGCCAATGTATATGAACTTGTATTACATTATTTATAAAGTACATTATTTTTTAGTGTTTTACATTATACAATTCTGAATATGACCTTTTAATTACTTTAAAATAATACAGAATTGCTTAATAATTTCTTCACTTTTCTGTTATGGCCTGAAATTGTCTGCTGAATTATAATGAATCTTTGACACATAAATCTGTATTGAGTTTACATTTCTATGATAGATATCAACAGCTGTGAGCCAGAGATGTGGAAAGCCATCGCCTGTGCCATGCAGGTCAAACCCTGTGGACGTAAACCGGCATCCTTTGTCATTTGCAGGTAAAAATCGGATTGATCGAATTGGAAAAAAAATGATCCTATTTTCAATGGCTGCCTGTGAATATCGTGTAAATATCATTGGTTTTGGTAGGAAAACAGTTATTTTATAAGTAGTTTGTTTAAAAAAGCTGTGCCTAAGAAATGAAATAAATGATCTTCACTTAATTGGTGTCCTATAAGGACATATGCAGCCATCTGGTTGAGATTTCAAAACAGCACAACTTTAATGCTCAGGGACTATGTAATAAGAAGGATAACTCTAATTTGGACAAACAACTTTTCTTCACGAAGTTATAAAGTAAAAAAATATTTCTCTCAAATTTTACATCCCAAGGTATGCTGAAATGAGAAGCCCCCAATCAAAATTTATACAATGTATAGGAAAGTCATAATAAATTATCATGACAAACTTTCAGATACTAAATTTGATGAGTGACTTTTGACATTTGAAATGATAAAGTCAGAGTTACTTCGATCTATAAACATGCAATCTGTAGTCTCTTTGTGAATGGTTATCATTTTTCTAGTAAAGAATGGTTTTAATTATAGGGATGACTGCGAGTACCTGCTGAACAAGTGTCTGAACACCTCGGCTATCCACCCCTCCCAGTCCGTCAGTCACCTGTGTAAGCTCCTGTCTCCAGACGACACCGCCAGGTCCTGTATCTCCATCAAACAGTTCACAGGTCAGTAGATCACACAGGTCAGTAGGTCACACAGGTCATAGGTCAGCCATCTGTGTAGTACATGTAACCAGACGACACCGCCAGGTACCGTATATCCATCAAACAGTTCGCAGGTCAGTATGTCACACAGATCACAGGTCAATAGGTCATACAGGGTATAGGTCAGTAGGTCACAGTTCATAGGAAGTAGGACATGCAGTTAATATGTCAAAAGGTCATATAATTTTATGTTATAAAGTTCATTCAGAGAATTAACCCTTTTGGTCTTACCAATTGCTATGTAGTCTTATAAAATTCATGTTGTATGTTTATCTCTATTATTTTTGATATGTTAATTATATATCTGTACAGAGCGGAGCCCATTCAGTGACTACCCCACCACAGAGCTGACCTCCCCCTGTAACCCAAACCCGTGTGGTGCCGACGAAGTCTGCTGGAACAACCACCGAAAATGTCACCATCCAGAGAACTGCCCCGCTTACGTGTGTCACAAAGGTAAATGATAATGTCACCACCCAGAGAACTGCCTGGCTTATGTGTGTCTCAAAGGTAAATGATAATGTCACCACCCGAAAACTGCCCCACTTACGTTTGTCACACAGGTAAATAATACCGTGTAAGTAGAATTTTTAGCGAGGATTTAATTTTGGCATTATTAGCGAGAGTTCCGATATCACTAAAATTGAATATCGCTAAAAATTAATTACATTTTATTTGTAATGGCTTCTTTAATGTGCATGTTAAAATTGCTAAAATAACATTGCGCTAAAAATGAATTACCAGTTTTTAAGGACAAATCACTTAATTTGCGTCTCGCTAAAATTTCCACTTTTAATATACGGTAATAAATGTCACCACCCCAAAGAACTGCCTGGCTAATACTGTTGGAACAACCATTGTTCTAATGTAAATGACATTTCAAATGAAGATTTGTTATTTATTGTAGCTTGCTCTATGGGTATAGATTCCGCTATGGCAGTACCTAAGCATGTGTATGTCAGGATTCCCACCACCTCGGTCGGTGACAGTAAATCAGACGGCTGTGTCAAACAACAGATCTGTCGCTGTGGCAACAAGAAGCTGGAAAACTGCAGGAGTATTCCCTGTACCAAACAGGACAAGTGTCATCTGGGGGGTGCACAAGGGGGAATCAGTAAAAGTGAGTATTGTGGAGGCACATTAAAGGGATATTGTGGAATCATTTTGATTTGTAGGGGAGAAGTGTTTGTGGGCAAGAAAAATTTTATTTGTTGTTGGAACATAATTTTCCTTGGTAGTTTGCTTAAATGGTACAGGAAACATGGTATATGTAATGAATTGATGTGTTTATGATTAAGTAAATGTATGTGGGGATGAATATTTGTAGTAAAGGTGATTCATGATATCCACAAAAACTGGTCCTCCACAAACATTATGTTTCCACATACACTTGTCTAACAGTATATTTAAAGTATAGAATAAAAACATTGGCGAGCAATTGCAAGTAGTTAAGGAGCTACTTAAATCTTTTTAGATAAATATGAATAAACAAAATCAGTATTAAATTACCACTTTTTCTGTTTAGATCACGGGGAACATTTCCGTATTGACTGTAATTTCTGTATCTGCCACTCGGGAGAATTAGTTTGTACGAAAGGTCGCTGTCCGTCGGGAAATGACGACTCCACTCTGACCGGACTGTCCTGTGATTGTTCACACAATTATCACCCAGTGTGTGGGGACAACGGGAAAACCTACCCCAACGCATGCCTGGCCAAACGGTGAGTGTGATGAGATACAAAATATTTAACTCAAAAGTGGTTGAGCATATACATACTATATTCGTACTCCTGGATATGGTTTAGTGGTGAGGAACCAGCATGGACATTGTGATTGCTCTGTGCTTTACAAAAAAAATAGTGTTCAAAGAGAGATAACTCGTTTTCCATTTCAGTTGTGGAGGCCTGAGATCTGATCAGATTCGCCAAGGAGCTTGTAGGTTGTCTGATCCATGTCGGGAAAACCCTTGTGGAAACAGCTTCAGGTTAGCCTGAGAATTTTTAAATGGCGCATGTCTGCAAATAAGATATTTTAGCTATTTCTGTTTTATTTTTGTTGTACATGTGTATATTAAATTTGTTTTTTTAATTAATTACAGGTGTTTACCTAAGCCTCAGGTGTGTTTACACATTGCCAGGGAAAGCTGTCTGCAGTATGAATGTGGTAGGTTACAATTCTCAGAATTTTCATTCATACCCTTGAAATGTAATGAAAAATGTATCCATAAAATGACTAATAGCTTAAATGAAAAAACTAAATTGTTATCTTAATTATCAACTTCTGTGATCAAATGTTTTAAATGTGACAGGAAAATATCTTTTTAAAATCTCGAGATCAGTGCTCTAGAATTCATTTTAACATTTTTGATGCAGACATTTTTTCTGAAAAATATTGATTATTGGGAGGGGGGCTAATGGAAACTTAGCCTCTATTGAGGCAGCGAGTAAATTAATGAATGTGACCTACATGTAGGGTCACAAAAATCTTTTCTTGAATTTGAATCAAGTCTAAAGCTATTTTTATTGTGTCCATGTGACAGTATCCCTGTGTTCTGTTACAGTGCCCCACGGTGTGAAGTGTAACGCGCACTATCACGACCCAGTGTGTGACACAGAGGGAATGGAACATTCTAATGCCTGTCTGTTACTGAAAAAAGGGAAAACTCTAGCCTACAGGGGGCACTGTCAGGTGAGTGGACATTACTTATACTGCAAACAGAGGGGAGGGGGGAGAGAGAAGAGTGGACATTACTTATACTGCAAACAGAGAGGAGGGGGGAGAGAAGAGTGGACATTACTTATACTGCAAATAGAGGGGAGGGGGGAGAGAAGGGTGGACATTACTTATACTGCAAACAGAGAGGATTGGGGGAGAGAAAGTGGACATTACTTATACTGCAAACAGAGAGGAGGGGGGGGAGAAATGGACATTACTTATACTGCAAACAGAGGGGAGGGGGGAGAGAAGAGTGGACATTACTTATACTGCAAACAGAGGGGAGGGGGTGAATGAAGAGTGGACATTACTTATACTGCAAACAGAGGGGAGGGGGGGGGGGGGGGGGGGGGAGAGAAGAGTGGACATTACTTATACTGCAAACAGAGAGGAGGGAGGGGGGGGAGAGAAGAGTGGACTTTACTTATACTGCAAACAGAGGGGAGGGGGGGGGAGAGAAGAGTGGACATTACTTATACTGCAAACAGAGATCTGCCACTCGGGAGAGAGGAGTGGACATTACTTATACTGCAAACAGAGAGGAGGGGGGGGATGACTCCAAGAGTGGACTGTCCTGTGATACTGCAAACAGAGGGGACCCTGTGTGTGGAGAGAAGAGTGGACATTACTTATACTGCAAACAGAGAGGAGGGGGGAGAGAGAGAAGAGTGGACATTACTTATACTGCAAACAGAGAGGAGGGGGGGGGGGGTGGGAGATATATACATTACTTATACTGCAAACAGAGAGGAGGGGGGAGGAGAGAAGAGTGGACATTACTTATACATCAAAAAGAGAGGAGGGGGGGGGAGAGAAGAGTGGACATTACTTATAATGCAAACAGAGGGGAGGGGGGAGAGAAGAGTGGACATTACTTATACTGCAAACAGAGAGGAGGGAAGAGAGAAAGTGGACTTTACTTATACTGCAAACTGTGGGGGGGGGAGAAGAGTGGACATTACTTATACTGCAAACAGAGAGGAGGGGGGGGAGAGAAGAGTGGACATTACTTATACTGCAAACAGAGAGGAGGGGGGGGGGGAGAAGAGTGGACATTACTTATACTGCAAACAGAGGGGAGGGGGGGGAGAATAGTGGACATTAAGGATACTGCAAACAGACGGAAGGGTGGGGGTAGAGAAGAGTGGCCATTACGTATACTGCAAACAGAGGGGAGGGGTCTGGAGAGAAGAGTGGACATTACTTATACTGCAAACAGAGAGGAGGGGGGGAAAAGTGGACATTACTTATACTGCAAACAGAGAGGAGGGGGGAGAGTATGGACATTACTTATACTGCAAACAGAGAGGAGGGGGGGAGAGAAGAGTGGACATTACTTATACTGCAAACAGAGAGGAGGGGGGGGAGAGAAGAGTGGACATTACTTATACTGCAAACAGAGAGGAGGGGGGGAGAGAAGAGTGGACATTACTTATACTGCAAACAGAGGGGAGGGGGGGAGAGAAGAGTGGACAGTACTTATACTGCAAACAGAGGGGAGGGGGTGAATGAAGAGTGGACATTACTTATACTGCAAACAGAGGGGAGGGGGGTGGGAGAGATGAGAGTGGACATTACTTATACTGCAAACAGAGAGGAGTGGGGGGGTGTGGGAGAGAAGAGTGGACATTACTTATACTGCAAACAGAGGGGAGGGGGGGGAGAAGAGTGGACATTAATTAAAATGCAAACAGAGGGAAGGGTGGGGGGAGAGAAGAGTGGACATTACTTATACTGCAAACAGAGGGGAGGGGGGGAGGTATTGCCAGGTGAGTGGACATTAATATATATAGCTTTATTTTTGCTCTGTATAATCTTCCAGTTGCAGTGGAGATAACTCTTTGTAGACTTTACTTTGTAATTTTGTCCATACCTGTGATGAAGGCAAATGATGACAGAAATAAAAATGTTGTTTTAATGCCCCTGTATACAATATTCATTGTAACAGAGAGAGCTAGGAAAAGGAAACTTGCACGCTCTTACAGTTTTGATTTGGTTGTATCAGTTGACTCCATACTTACTTTAACTGATGCCCGTTTTATTATTTCAGACCCACTGTGCGACCACCTCCCCTGTTTGTGGACATGACGGGGAGACCTACGGCAGTCAGTGTCAGGCTCTAGCGGCCCGCGTCACCGTGGACTACCAGGGGCCCTGCAGGGTGGTGGGACATTTCTCAGGTGAGTTTTTTGAGGGGCACTAGGGAGGGATCATATGCCATTACTGATTACAGAACCATGGCTTTTACTTTTTCAGCAAATATGCTAACAAATTATAATTTTAGAGAAGTATTTTTATATTAAAACATATTATGTAATGGATGTATTGGATAAAAGGAATTACCTTGATAACAGATATAAATTGTCATCTTAACTGACACTTGTTTTACTGTACATAGTCCAATTTGTTTAGTTAAATAAAGGTTTTCTTCATTGAGTCTGTGTGTATTAAGTTAAAGTAGTGATACAGTTGATATAGTTACTCTTACACTTTCCAGGAAACATGTCCAGTGGACCGTGTCCTGGAGTTACCTGTGACCCAGTTCTACCTCGGCAGTGTAAACCCATCCTACCCCCGGGGGCCTGCTGTCCTGTCTGTGGTGAGTAGAACATTCTATAAATTATACTATATCTTCACTATTAAAGTTTGTTTGTACTTAAACAATGTAATACAGTTAAACTTCATTAACTCCAACTTCCTAGTGTCTCTCTAATGTTTTTTCTCTGCGGAATTCTTTGCAAACCGGAGCTGGCCGAAATAAATGACTATCAATTTTTAATTTTATGTATGTTTTTAGCTGCGGAGTTATGAGTCCTATACAAAACTGAGCTGGAGGATATAAATGACTAATGATTTTTTTAATTCTATGTACGTTTTTTAGCTGCGGAGTTACGGGTCCTGTACAAGCCGGAGCTGGCGGAGATGGTTTCCCGGGAGATGATGACCGGTCCACTCAGCGTCCAGCAGACAGTGGACATTCTGTCACACAACCTGGAAATCCTCGAGTGTGATGTGTTCGGATTCCTGGGAGTGGACCAATCAGAAGTCGTCATCTTAATTAAACCAGTGACAGCCACGCCCACTATGTTACAGGTATGTAAATGTCCCACACTAATTACAGTAAAACACAGTTCAAGTGAAAACTGTCTAATTTGACACCTGTATATTAATCCATCACACTGTAAATTCCTACATTAAATTTCTTTCTTATATTTACATTTTGCATGTTATTTAACACTGTGCAATCCAACACCCTGTCAATTCTGACTCAAAAATTGTCTGCCAGTGCATGTCAGATTAGACAGGTTTCACTGTATTGATTCTTAAAACATTGTGAGATTCATTTCCCATGGCTTTGAAATCTTTGCGAACATAATGGTTTGAATGAATTACGTTTAAAATGAAGCAAAACTGTCCATTCCTCGAACTTTGTTTTAATCGTGTTTTACTACATAACCTTGTTGATTAAAATTATGGAAGAAAACAAAGGTTAATTACTGTATCTGTTTGTAAATTTAACATATCTCACCTGAGTATTTAATTTTTCCAGGTACAGGCCTGTATACGTGAGGCTGAGAGGATAGAGTATCTAGTACAGACAGACAGTCCGCTCCTCAAGGCCTACGCTGCTCTCACCCCGTTCCTCCTAGCCCCTATGAGGGCCCCCAGGACAATAGCGGTGTCCAGGGGTGGGGCTGTGACCCCCTCTGTGCCTCTTTTATCTGTGTTAGTTTTACTGACTCTGTTTACCTTAAGGACGTTTAGCAGGTCATGACACATAGGAAGCTGCAGTGTCAGGAATTATTGACGATTTATTTTGACTGATCATGACGACCTATCCCCAAAATTGATAATGGTTGGTCACTGTGTAAAGACGTATCTTTGTCAGAGGAATGTGTTCATAAAGACTGGAGGATGAACAATGGTGAGGACATCATCCAAGGAAGAAAACTTGGATAGGAAAGGAGGCGTGAAGATTTCAGAAGAGGAAACGAGAAAAGGGTGAAGACCCAAGTTTCATAAAGTTGAAGTCAGTTTTCATTAGTTCATATTGGAAGCAGTTTAAGAAGATCTAAAACTGCTTTAACAGGAAATTGGAGAATACTTTTGCGCTATTTATGTTTTTGTGGTCAGTTCTTCATAATTGTGTGGTGATTTTTATTGGCCAAATTTTTGACTGTGATAGCCAATCAGTGCTGAAGAAGACAAACAGATTTTGATTGGTTAGTAAGAATGGCATGTAGAGATTTGATTGGAGAATGATGATTTTGGTGTCCAATCAGTATTATTCTTTGAGACGATTTAGTTGAGTGTTTGGTGCTATAAATTTATAGCTTTACAAATGATCAACAGCATTTATAACTATCTCTAAAACTCAGTTTTTATATTTTTTCATTTTGCAGTATAAATCGGTTTGTAGAAGGAAATTTTTTTCCCCACATGTATGATTCTGAATTATTTAGTATTATATACAAATGAAGACATTTTCCTGTGTAGCATTACATCATGTTATATTTATTACATTATACATTTGTATATTAACAAAATGCCAAAGACTTTCATATTTAACTTTTTATGCTTACACAAATTTCAAATTTTTATCTTCTTCAAAAAATAAGACACAAAACAGATACAGCATTTTCCTTTGAGGATTTTTTATTTTTGTTTTGTGTTTTTTTAATGCCATGTAATTCGTAATCTCAGTATATTGATGGGACAGAATCTCGCGCGCAGTATGAAAAAACAAGAGAGATGGATGTGTTTCAATACTCATGACTCTCGGACACTTTTAATCTTGTGAGGCATCATCATTTATTTTCTGTATTTTGTGTATGTAGATGTGTTTGTATGAAAAGTGCTAAAGGTAGAGTCAAGGAGACTCAACAGTATTCATTATTTATATTAATAAGTAGACAAAATCAGAGAGAGAGAGAAAGGGTGTCATGATCTATTTTGTATTAATGTGGATATTTTTGTAATTCACTGTAGAAATCTTTTTTTGTCTGTATTTTACTATATATGTAATATAGAATGTGAAGCATTGTTGTATGTTTATACTTGAAAGAAAGGAATCATATAATATTTGTACATGTGTGTGACTTAATTTGGATAAAGTTATGTTTGTTAAGTAATTTGTATGATTATGATTGTGTTTGTTTTGTATGGTATGTTTGTCTGGGCTGTAAGTATGGTGAAAAACAGCATTCTACAAATCTGGCGGCCTCTCTAAAAAGTGGACGTGACATACCCTTGTCATATTCCCTTGTTAATTGGGGGCAGCCATTTTGTATTTTGATAATCAGTATTTCTAGTCAAGGTTAACTGATGACATAGTGATGGTATTCTTTTCCTTCATATTTTTTATGTTAGGTACATGTGATCTATTTATAAATAAATATTTATCTTTTTCATGGCAATTTCTGACTTGGATGAAAAAAATCTCTTAAGGTGGAATGACCCTCTAATCAGGAAAGATAACTCTGTTTTTAGATTTTAGTCAAATATAACTCTAATGTTGAGGAAATATGTTCCATTACTACAATTACTTCATTTACTACATTTTTAACTTCAAAAAGGATTATTTTTACATAACACAGAATTTGTTGAAAATTCCTTTTTATTTTCAACTTAAGTTGTTTCAGCTTCATCTCAATCTTCCATCATCATTTAGGAAGATCCCATCGAAATTTGATTAAGTGAGCAGAGGGGATTCTTCTGTTTTTTTATCTTTAAAGATATATTTGTTTCACTCACATTTAATGAGTTCCAAAGGTAGCTAATTAATGGCATTTATGTACTAGTAAATTGATATTTACATGATTTTAGCAAAAGCTTTAATTTTTGAATCACGCTTAAAAACTTCAATAATGAGAATCTGACAGAACTAATTTCTTCTACATTCAAGATTGAAAATGTAAAAAATTTCTTCTATGTATGTCTTAATCAATTGTTCACATGTATCACATGACATAAACAGCATGGTCACATGACAATGGTCACATGACATTGTCATGTTCAGTATTACAGCCAAACAAGAGACATTTTATCATTGTGTGCCTGATTCTGTGTCTATATATTTTGTGTAAGGCCATTGTTTTTTTTTTTTAAAATATGTGCACGTAGTGCATGGTGTTTGTTACAGAAATTAAAAGAAAATGTTATTTTGTTAATACTTGTTTGTTGTCTTCATTACATTATTATGGTTTTGTTTGGTTATTTGTTTGTTGTTTAATGTCCCTTTTGAGATTTTTCACTCAAATAGAGACACTACCACTTGCTGTTGAAGGGCTGCAGTTTTTGTCCTACACTCTGCACTTACGGTCATTGAGCAGTGATGGATATTTTTCGTGCCAGCACCTACTGCAAAATGGGACTTTGGTTTATATAGTCTCATCTGAAGGACAGATCTCCATGTCCCACAGTGGGATTTGAACCTGCAATGCAAGGATCAATTCCATACTCTGCAACTCTAGAGCAGATGCTGTAACCACTTTGCAGCGTTGGCCATTATTGTTGTAGTCTATCCAGAAGGAATAAAACTTAAAAACATGTACAGTTTAGTATAATCAGCATGCTGATGACATTGTTACATGTTACAATTGTCTCAAAGATAAATGTACATTTCTTACTGGGCTAAATGCAAATTTCAGTCCGTAAGGTCAAGGTCAAAGACAATGTCAAGGTTGAAAAAAGATAAAGTTGAACAGCTGAAACCAGTATGTATCAGCATATAGATTTGATGAAAATATTTGGAAGTTTTCTTTAAAACTGGACTAAATGTAAAACTAAGAAAAGTTTCGGAAAGTTTAAGGTCACAAAATGTTGACAACCCTCATCAGTTTGTATCATTGAGTTTGATGAAACTGAGCTAAACAAAAAGTTAAGAAAAGTAAGGACAAAGTAAGAAATAGGTCAATGTCACACAATGTTGATGCAGTTGAATAGCCCTTCAGAATATGTATCGGTAAATGAAGTTTGATACGAAAATATCTTGAATGGTTTCTCTCAAACCGAGGTCAATACAAATTCTAAAAAGGTCAAATTCAAAGGCCCTGAAAGATCAAGGTCATAAAATGCTGAAGCAATTGATAACTCTCATCAATTTTACCAGCAAGTTTGATTTAAAAAAAAATTGAATGTTTCGTTAAAGCTGAGCTAAACACAAATTTTGTCAAAATTTTACTTTATGAAAAATGTACATGTATATGCTAACATGGTCATTATATCGACTACAGAACTTACGAAACGGTGTCTTTAAACGAGACTGCTAGTATTCCTGTTTCAGCAATTTGTCTGTCTGTAATTTACCTCTTTTTAGAGAATGCGTATCGAATCAACCGAGAGATATAAACCCCGTATGCAGGTGATAAGGATATTACGAGGGCTGTTCAATAAATAATGTCCTGAGCACTATGACATACAACAAAGAAATCATATGACATTACTCTTGACTTTCTCTCATGATTTAATCTTTAATGAATTATTTACAGTTTATGTGACCACTTTTCATCGCATAGTTTCATTGTGAGAGGCTTGAAAACAAGGGCTATTCGAGACACTGCATTAAAAATGAATGGTAAAGAATCCGTAAACTAGAGTGAAATCAAACGTGAAATCAAACGCATCATTTAAGCTGCTGTAAAACTCGTTAAAAATTCCAAAGAAATATTCACTGAAATATGTGAAATTTACAGCAACCTATATCTGTTTTATAGGCACATGAAGAGGTGGATTTCAATGAATAAAAATTATATAATGGGCATCAAAAATGGGTACCGTCCTTGGCGACAAGGATTTACAACAACCAGTGTACTGTTGGCCAAAATTCAACAAATTATCACTGACGATATTTGATTGACTTTAAGACACTTAGCAAAACTGATAGGCATCGTTTGGGGGGGGGGGGTAGTTTACCCTGTATCAAAGGAACATTTGACAGTTAAAAAGCTTTGTTCTCGATGGCCACCCTGTGTTTGAAAAATGAGTGAAAACGACAGCGCTTAAGAATGTCTACACTATTTTTAAAAAAAAAAAAAAAATTACCGGTATATTTATCAACGTTTGTCTGAAATTCAAACAGATAATGAAACTTGAATCCATTGCTTTAATTAACACCCTCAAAACAAATTTACAATAAGATGCACTTTACAAAAACAGCCAAGGTCTGAGAAGAGCAAAGAATTTCAAAAGCACAAAAACAGTTTTATAGGCCATTTTCTTAAATACGAGGGGCGTTCAATAAATAATGTCATTGGGGCTCAGAAAGAAGCAAACGACGCTTTTCAATGATTTAATCTTCATGATTTTACTTATTAATCTCTTTTAATTCAAACACATGTCCGTAAAACTTTTTATCCAATTTCTGATTGATTTTAGAACTCATTTTTGGGTATGACCCTTAGTATACTGGAAAATGGCAGATCCAATGATTTCCTGGACTTGTTTTTTCCTTCTGAAAGGTGTTTTTTTCAAGTTTGGAAATAGAAACAAGTCAAAAGGTCAAAGACCTGGCAAATATTGTTAATGTGAAAAAACATTAACTTTCTGTTTATCCCGAAAACCCCTTTACTCTTTAGGGCATGCGGGTTTGAACGCTGTCATGAAGAAATTCAACTAGTGGATTCCTGATTCTGGGTCCTTTCTCTGATAAACCTTTCGATTTCTTTGCAAAAAACTGCTTTCTAGACACCTCCAGATATTAAACTGTCTCCCCGAATACGAATTTGAACAACAATACCACTAATATTTAAGAAAATTGCATTTAAATCTGTCTTTGTGCTCTTGCAAACCTTTGCTCTTGACAGACCATCGCCGTTTTTATCCAGTACATCTTATGTTAAAATTTGTTTTAATGGTTTTAAGCAATAGATTCATGTTCCAATATCTGTTTGAATGTAAAACAAACGTAGATTACTACAATTACTGATATTTTAAAATAATTGTTAAGACTTTTGTACACGCTGTCGTTTTCACTCATTTTTCAAAATACAGGGTGACCTTAGAGTACCAAGCTTAATTACTGTCAAACGTTTCTTAAAAACAGTGTAAACTACTCCCGATATGATGTCTATCAAATTTGCTATGTGTCTTAAAGTCAATCATACAACATCAAATATCATTTGTTGAAATTTGACATACAGTACATAAGTTGTTATAATTTTTGTTGGCAAGAAGGGTACCCATTTTTGATGCCCATTATATAATTTTTTATCATTGAAATCCACCTGCTCATTTGTCTATAAAACAGGCATCAGTTACTGTAAATTTCACATATTTCAGTGAATATTTATTTGGGATTTTAAACAAGTTTTACAGCAGCTTTAATGTAGCTTTTATTTTCACTCTAGTTTAATGATTCTTTACCATTCATTTATAATGCAGTGTCTCGAATAGCCCTTGTTTCCCAGCTTCTCACGATAAAACTATGTGATGAAAAGTGGTCACATAAACTGTTATAAATTCATTAAAGATTCAATAATGAGAGAAAGTCAAGCTTTATGTCATATGACTACTATGTTGTATGTCATCGAGCTAATGACATTATTTATTGAACGTCCCTCGTATTAGAGGTTTTGTTGTTCAAATTCTTATTCGGGGAGGCAGTTCAATTTCTGGAGAAGTCTAGAAAGTAAAGTTTTCCAAAAAAAAAAAAATAATAATAATAAATAAATAAATAAATAAAAATCGATTAACTTTTGAAAAACTTATTCGAGATAATGGGATGACAATAAAACTATTTGCAGTCCTTGATTGAAAAAAATCTACATTACAAGAAAAAATCCTTTTAGTCTGGACGAAAGAAGTCGGTTCACTTTATGCATAAAATGGCCCTGTAGATATACCAATTGATTGATCAACGCTTGATTTTCAATTTGAAGTATTAAAATAAAATAGAGACTTAATGCTTTCATATCATATTAAAATTTTTCTCCTAAATGTCCAGGTCTTAGAGAACTGGCTTTATGAAATTGCAATGTTCTTGAATTTTTAGGTAAACAGGTATACTTTCAGGGAAGGAAAATACTATAATCGCACTCTCTGATCTAAAAAATAAAACCTGTCTTTTAATTCTCAAAAACAGTTCTATCATATACATGATATACGAGTTGCATATTTTAGTTCAGAGGTTGCGCTCTATTGAAAAATAGCTTTAAAAATTGGCCGTTAATATACACGTTTTCAGAATATGAGGAAATTAACGCAATTTGTGACGTCATAATGCATTGATTAGCCAGAAAATTACGTCATTTTTGATAGTTACGCAGTCACCAAAGATCTAAGGGATATTTAATGCATTGTTAGCTAAAACTATGGAGTTTCAGATGTTCAGAAATACACAGGGCCAAATAAGGCAAAGGTGAACCTTGTTCTTTGAAGGAAAAATGCAGTATTTACACTTGTAAGCTAAAAAATCCACTCAATAGATAACAAGCAAATTCAAAGAATTGTGGTCCCCAATTTGCGGTGTCTTTGTGGGTGGGATGTCATTTTTTTTATGACATATTGTGTCAAATCTTGTCACAGGTAATGCACATGTCAAATATGAAAGCCCTATCTCTTCTCGATCAAAAGTTATAAGGAAGTGAGTCTGATGACCCCGTATGGCAAAATAGGAAAGATTCAACTTTTCCTAAATGCAAATTAAATATATATTGGTACGCAAAGTAGGGCCATCTCACAAGAAATACAATTGTGAAATATTAAAGCCCTAGCATCATCTGTTCAAAAGTTATGGTCAAGGATAAGTTTTTAAAAGGTAGGTCAAACTCCAAGGTTAAAGTGTCAAAGTTATTTATATCCAATGAAAGGTCTTGCCACAAGTATAACATATGTGAAGTATGAAAGCCCTTGCCCAAACCGTTCAAAAGTTATGACCAAGGTTACAGTTTTTAAAAAGTAGGTCAAACTCCGATGTCAAAGGGTCAAAGCTGTTGGTATCCAATGAAAGTTCTCCTCACATGGATTACATGTGTGAAATATGAAAGCCTTAGTCCGTACCGTTCAAAAGTTATGGCGGTGAAAATTATTTTTATAAGTACGGAAATCTCCAAGGTCAAGATCAAAAGGTCAAAGTAGCTGGTATCCAATAAAAGGTCTTGCCACAAAGAATAAATATGTGAAATATGAAAGTCCTAGTAACTACCGTTCAAAAGTTATGGCCAAAGTAAAA